TTTTTTTATATTTTTGTATTTTTTTAATTTTTTTTGTATTTTTGTATTTTTTAATTTTTTTTACATTTTTAATTTTATTTTTTAACGCTTTTTTATTTTTAAAAACTATTTATACAACGCTAAATATGTTATTCCTTTCCCGGATAACATCTTTTAATGTCGATAAGCAATTGCTTGAAAGGATTTTGACCTAATCTTCGAAGTCGACGACGCCACATAAATTCGCACAAATGATCAGCGATAGAATTATTGTGAACACCACCGCGAGATAGTTCACGACGCATCCAGCGCCAGGAGGACTCAATATTCTGAGTATAAGCCCCAGTTTCCGGATCTACAAAAAACTCAGAATGATTCACCGTTTTGTGGTCATAACCGTGGTGTTTCAAGTCGATATATCCTTTCCAACAATCCGTATGGATCTCAGTTCCAGGCATCACATGTTTTTTTATTAAAGTTATAAGAGTATCTTTATCTCTCTTGTTGTCCAGGCAAATTTCGAGCCGATAATTAGTAGCGTGTCCACGATGAATCATTCCGAGAATCCACGATCCCTCAACAACACGCCCTCGTTCGTACTTCCGACGACCAATCTTACACTCATCAATTTCGACTATTTCACCAACATCTCCCAAAAGACCTAAAACTGCTCATCAAGTGCAACCATGCAAACTCTCGACAAAAAGAAAATCTATCGGCTATAGTTTCACGAGATATCTGCTGTCCATCAATAATACTGCTTTCTCGAATCGTTTGCTCAAACGACATATTGACAGAAAAACAATACGTTATAAGAATACATGCCGCAGGAGAAATATGACACCTCTCGAACCATGTATCCTCGGCAACAGTCGCAGTATGTCGATACTTTCCTTTTTTCATGCAAAGGAATCTTCCGCATTCAAGATCAGATTCTAATAAATCCATATATTTTTTATGATGACTGCAGAATCTTTGCGTTGGAATCAAACCAACTTCCCTCAACCATTGAAGAGTTGATGAACGATTTTGAAAAAATAGATGCCAATAAAAAAAATATGTTTTATCCATTTTTTGTAAATAAGAAAATTAAAAGAAACAATCTTATTAATTAGGCTATGAAACTTTTACTAGAAAATTACACTTTGCATAAATAGTCGCAAACCCATATAAAACCGTCTATAATTATAGACCTAATTTTGCATCCAAAGCACCGAGCGATGAGGGGTAGACCTTACTTTGCACAAAGAGTTGCAAACCCTGTGACGTGGCAGCCGTGGAGGCGCCCGTCTCAAGAACCCCGTGTCGAGTTAGCGAGAATGTTTGTCGCGTGCCGTGTCGCTAACGGTTTTTCGAGACCTTGCCGAATATCGCGTTCCGTCGGATTGTTTATTGTGACGATTTAGAACAAAGCGAAGAAGCGATTTTTGCGAGCGGAGCAGATGCGAAGGTCAGCGCGTCCCGAATTTTGTGCCCCTCGACGTCCCTTGCCGGCCATCAGGACGAGGAGCGGAGGACAACGAGAAGC